GATGCTCGACCAGTATATTGACCCTGGATCCTGTAAGCTTAGATGAAAACGGAATTTCTTATATACCATTCGACGCGTCGCGAGCTGTTCTACAAAACTGCATATTTGGTTTCTTGGTTCAAGGGGGTCACCAAATCCGACAGGATCCTTTGTGTCATTGACAGTATAAGTTCAAACCCCGGAAATTTTTCTGTCAATTTAGCCAAGACAGAGCTTTTGAACTTGGTTGGCTGTAATGAAAAACTTATTTTACCGCACCTGAGTGTGTTTTCAGGCTAATTTTTGTCTGAGTATTTGCTATAAAAGCAACATATAATGAGAAAAAAGCTCTTAAACGCCTCCCCTCAGAACAGAAGGCCACCCTTACTAGAAGGTCAGTCTGGAGCGGAAATTTTTGAAAACGCCATATAGGACAGTTTTTCACCAAAAAAAGTGCGCTGTGCACCATGATTGTGCACCTTCATAGAAGGCCATGACCTTCTATTCTGGGTGGGGGATTATAACTGGAGCTAATTGCTGGTTTTTTAAAGTGATTTTACTTTTCGTCGTTTCCTCTCGATGCTCATTTTCCATGTTTCTGTCTAAAAGTGTACTCAGATGCGGCTCTGTTTACAAACAAGACATTATGATAAAGAGTACTTTGTGGTAAAAATAAGACATACGAATGGGACTCTTCGAATTTGGGATCTGCCTCAAAAACTACCGGACATTTCCGGTAGCTTTCTGTTACAGTACTTAGAACAATATTTGATCTGACATCAGCAAATTTTACTGACCAAAAACGACCAAGACCTATCGAAAATTTCAAGAGATGTATCACGATGGTCGAAAATACTGTTTATGTTTTATAAAGTTTAGTCTTTCTTTTAACTAAGATGAGACCTAATCTCTTGTTTAAAAATTCAGAGTGACCCTTTTTGTTCATTTTCGATCTAACACAGGTTACTTATTTCTCAACTGTGCAAACCGTTGAGTTATGACAAAATTCTTATCGATTTCGAGTGAAAGTTTGCCCAAACCGGAGAAAATACCTAGACAAAAATCGACCACTAACCCGCGGCTTGCAGAAAGTTAAAATCTACACAAGATTTTTAGAGAACCTTGATCTTAAACAAATGTTAACTAAAATCTTGATAATTTTTTTGGACAATTTTGACTGAGAAATTCTTTTTCAAAATCTTGTCAAGATTTCGTTTAGAAATTTAGATCAAGAAGGCAATACGAAACTTGATGCAGATCTTGAAAAGCTTTATAAACAATTCTAATTCTACGAAATTATAATTGCTATTTGAATAAATACGTAGAAAAAACATATATCACTCAAATCTTGAACTTCTCGCACTTTCAATTCTTTTCCTTTACATATACATAGAAGGCAGATAAGAGTTCTTTTTCCATTGGTAAATAAATCTGATCAGACCGCTCTCTTTCTTTCTTTTCTTAAGAAACAAAAGAACGTCCTTTATTTCAAATTACTTAAATATAAAAAACTTAAATTTCTTTCTTTTTCAGCATTATTTAGAATATAATTTCGATGTCACGTAAACTATTTCTGAATACAGTGGGACCTGTTTGTAATTGTTATAACGATAAAGTCTGGTAAGAAGAGATCGTTTGAGTTCTTATTTGCTTTCCTATTTTCTAGGAAGTAAGGTGCCGGAAATTCGAAAGGTACACACAAAAATAGATTTTCTTTAAATATACATGGTTGGATAGCATGGTTGAAAGGTATATTCCAAATATCACCTTTTTATTCACTTTTGATCAAGTTTTGTGGGAGAAATCTTCAAAATACTGAATACCACCTGAAAAGTGAGATTTTGACACTTTCGGAGTAAACCTCAAATTCGACCCAGTTACATAGGTTCTCGTTTTCTCAAACACACATATTCGGATTCAGCAGCTCAAAAGGAGTCTGACCATGTAAGTTCGAGAGTATTTTATCTATTCTAGCACCTGAGCCAGATTGCCTAAGTCCGTCCATGGCCGTTTTGAGACCTATGTGCGCCAAACCTATGTATTCTTTTGCATTAAAAGCTTTCCACAACAATTATACATCATTCGAACCGCCATTAAAAGGCGAACAAAAGTATGCGTGTGTTCGAAAAACTTTCGCTTCCTCGTAAGTCCAAATTTTGCCAGTAATTCGTGATTTTCCCGAACAAAACTCAACTTTTGTGCAATAGAAATATCATATTCAGAATCAGGATCGAAAACTGAATCGAATGATATGTATTTCGACATTTTTCGACTACTTTAATTTTTTAGTGAAAATTCCGATGATTTGTCGAAGTGGAAATTCGAAAAATGTCGAAATACATATCATTCGATTCAGTTTTCGATCCTGATTCTGAATATGATATTTCTATTGCACAAAAGTTGAGTTTTGTTCGGGAAAATCACGAATTACTGGCAGAATTTGGACTTACGAGGAAGCGAAAGTTTTTCGAACACACGCATACTTTTGTTCGCCTTTTAATGGCGGTTCGAATGATGTATAATTGTTGTGGAAAGCTTTTAATGCAAAAGAATACATAGGTTTGGCGCACATAGGTCTCAAAACGGCCATGGACGGACTTAGGCAATCTGGCTCAGGTGCTAGAATAGATAAAATACTCTCGAACTTACATGGTTAGACTCCTTTTGAGCTGCTGAATCCGAATATCTGATCTTGAATTATCTAGATGAGACCAATCGAGAAATCTCCAGCGATTCTCACCTTTATCTATACAAAAGCATAGAAGCAACAACTAAAAAAGCGTGCATATCTGAAAGCTTTTTTCAGTATGCATAGAATATAAATTAAATATTACAAATAGAATCGCCAACTTTGATATTTCTAGCACGCAGTCCAGTCTGCATGATTCTTTGGCCTACAGGCAATTGGACACTCGGAGAACGGTTTACTTGTACCACAGCACGGTCGTACGCAACCTATAAAACAATTTGTTTGATTGAATGGAGGGCGCCGTGTGGGAAATGGATGAGAGTTTTTTCCATACGATGTCTGACAGAGAAAACTGTCATGTGCGATAACATCATTTTGTATTCGAGGCCATATTTGATCGGATAAAAAAGTTTGATCACCACGTCCACCGTATCGACTAATCAAATTACGATCAAGTATTTTTTTTAAAAATTCACTCGAAAAGGCACGATTCAATTCTGTGCGAAACCCCCACATACCTCCTAGCATTGGTACACCTAAAGCAAATAAAGATACATTCAACATTGGCAGCCTTCTCTAGTTTGACCATATTAGAGAAGTCTAGCTCTTAAATCCTCCTCTGTTGGTTTAGATTTATTACAACAACTAGTCTACTACTATCCAATCACAGCAATGTCTTGCACATAAACTCAATGAGACTGAAGAGATTATAAACTATAAATCAGTTTGTGAAGAGAACTGGTTATTTTTAAGTTAAAGTTTGTTTTTATGAAGTTTACTTTAACACTTACCATGATAGGGATGATCACGCATGGTATGGAAGGATTTGTTACTTTTAAGCCATTCTGTCACAGCATCTAATTCACGTTGTGTTAAGGCTGAATCTAAATCTCGACTATTCATTACTTTAACAAATGTATCACCAGCTGGAAGGAATCTCCATATTTTTGGTGGTACAAAGTCGCTTACGTTTCCATGTTGTGGTACTGAATCCATATCGCAAAAATCGACAATCAGATGTTGACATTCAATCTGACATATGATTGATGAACCAATCGTTGAATCATGATGTATTCTTAGAATCCATCCCGGATAAATAGTGTACATATCAGCAATTAGTTCATACAAAAATGTTATTGTTCTGTTGAACGAAAACATGGCATTTTCTTTTGGACCGAATAAACTAATCGATATAACTGACTGATTCTCTCCACGTAATGTAGAAAATTGACTACATAATGATGATTTTGTTTCGTCTATCACCAGTATCGATTTCTTCAGTTGTCTCGTACAAGAACAGTTTAATCGTTTATAAATTAATAGAGTATCATCTAGTTTCATTGTTGCTGTAACGGAAAAGATGTAAATGTTTATTAACCATTTCGAAACGATTAAAACTAATGTGGATGTGAATATTGCAATTATTGTAATGACGCGCTTTGATAGAATAAGGTGCATTATCTTCATTCATCGGGCCAACAAGAAAAGTTTCTATAGTCAATAATTAAATCAATTACAACTGAAATAGAAAATATATTAACTGACGTCTGTCATTTGCACTGAGTACATTTCCAGGAAAGAGTAATAGGAGAATATTAGGATAGCAATAGGGGTTAGTCAGATAGTATGAGTGAATAAAGGATTATAGTTACTATGTGCAAAGAGAACAATAAGGGAATAGAAAATTATCTTAAGGGTAGACGAGAGATAAATTGTATATTACTGAAGAAAAATTTTTCATTTCTTTTGTAAATAAAACTATCTGCGCAATTTCCTTTATTTTTGGAAAACTATTTGAATTTTAGGTGGTTACTCGTTTCGTGTCTTGCTCTTCTAGTTATTGATTAAACATTCTAATTTTGTGTATATAAAGCTGTGAGATTTCTGATAAAAGCCTAATTAACCGTAGAATTTGTGAACATTCAGGTTTTAAAAATTAATGAAGACTTCCGATTCCTGTACGGAAAGAATAACTGTTCTTAAATTCATTACAAGTTAAAAATCCTGATCCAGAAAGTAACAACTCAATCGTGTGACATCTATCTAACTTCATGATGACGGTGAGGGCATGTGGTGCGTTTTGTTCATAAATATAGATATATATCTATATACATTCATCCCAAATGTCTCTGCTTTCATAGACAAGAAGCGATACGTTTAGCCTGTTTTTGTATTCATAACGAGCACAAGTTTAACATGAAGTCGATTTCTCATAGTCTTAGATTTTTGCAGCATTCTTTTGTCTTTTCACACTTCATCAGGCGAGTCTACATCTATAAGAAACATAAAACCGACCCTTCCTATGTACAGTGGAAGAAAAACAAAGTCCGTTCGGTTTGGCAAGAATCGGTTTGGCCAGAAGATGAAGATAATCTTGCATTAAGTCGACTGCGTGAAATGAAAAAAGACTTATTGCTTTTTAACAGAAAAAATTCTTTACACCGACCCCAGCAGAGATGCATCTGAGTTGATTGATTAATTAGTCACGTGACACTTATAAAATCACTCTTATTATACATTTAATTGCTGAAATGACTATTTCAACAATGATAATAGAGGTTCACGATAGTGTTATTACAAATTAACTGGCACTAGAAAATCTTTTCTCTACATTTTGTTTGATTGTATTAACACTGGTAGACAATCAACTTGATACGAAAGCTGGATCAGTTGTGGGTTTTTATCAGAGTCTGAATCAGCTCCAAAAAAGCTGAAAATTACTTGCCACAGAAAGCTGCTTTCTTCTCTTTTGCTTCTTACTTATTCAAAACTGAATATCCTTATCAGTGCTTTCAGGGCTGACTCAAGTAACCGTATGATTCTTGATGGTAGTAACCGTATGCGCTTGATAGTAACAGTAATATCTTCCTACCCAAGATAATACTGTTCTTAAATATTTATAATAATCAAATTTATCGAATTCTTGCACTATTCTCTCTAATTTTTCTCACAGTTTAGACGGCTGTTCAATGAAAGCTTCTTTTGGCCGTAAAAACACGGAAAAGAAAAATGGAAGAAGCAAAAATAAACAATTTTATTAGTCTTGTCAACGGACCCCGATTTTAACTCCGAAAAATCCTTCTTTTTAGTTCCGACTCCGACTCCGAAAAATATTTTTTTGCGATTCCGCTTCCAGCTCCGACGCCGACAATTTCGGAGGGTAGTGCAGTTCTCTACTGCATTCCCAGTAACATATTTGACTTATTGTAGATTGTATTGTACAGGTCTTATAATTTTTGACACTAAAAACTTAGTTAGATGCTCTCTTTATACGATAATAAAGATGCATTTGGAAACTTGAACGACATGTTCTAAAAGAGCATGAAAAAACTCTACCAAACCCAAATTGAGTCGACTCAATACCCATGTCGCCAAAACCAAAAGTTTTTTTTCGCGTAAATCAAGTGTATCACGCAAAAACATAAGTGGCATAACGCGAAAAATGGTTACAAATCTGAAATTCTGAAAAATTCTGTACACTCTTCTAAAACCAAATATTTACAAAATTGTTGATTAAAACCAAATATTTAGAAAAGTCTGTGTTAGTTGAACTAATACTGAATTTTGTAAATATTTTGTTTTAGAAGAATATACAGAATTTTGAAGAATTTCAAATTTGTAACTATTTTTTGCGTTACGCCACTTATGTTTTAGTATTTTTGTTTTACGTGACCGTGCAAAAAATCTTTTTCAATTTCTACATGGTTAGCCTCGTTCAACGAGCCGCTGAAATATCAACAATTACACAATAAAGGGTGATCTTATAATTTTCGACACTACTGTATTTGTCTGAATCAGTCAAAGTTTATCTTTAATAAACTAAAGAGTGCTTTAAGGGAAAAATACGACCTCCAAATAATTTTTGACACTAAAATTTCGTTATTTTTTGTGAAGTTCTTTTTATACGATAATAAAGATGCGTTTGGAAACTTGAATGGCATATTCTAAAAGAGCATGAAAAACGCTACTAAACCCAAATTGTGTCAACTGAATAGCATCGTTCAACAAGCAGCTGAAATCTCAACAATTTCACAATAAAGGGTGATCGTATAATTTTCCACACTACTGTATTTCAAAAACCAACTTTTCCGCTGAAGCTCTTGTGTTGCCAAGAACTGCTGAACATTTTCAGAAGCTTTTTACATTAGCATGTAGAACATGTTTCATCTACCACACTGTAAAAAATTGCCCTTTACAAGGATAATTTTTGCATTGAATTCAGGAAGAATTTTGGAATATTTTAGATGTGCTACCCTCCTAAACTTACTCATATGCCTTTTACTGTGCCCAAAATTTGCGCAAGGTCTGTCATAAAAGAATGCATCGTCTACATCGAAAATGTTCCAGCATGTATCGAGATTATTTATGAGGAACCATAAGCGAATGAGTATAAATTATGTAGTATTGTTTTTTGAATAACACTAAGTAATCATATAGAGTGACAAGACACTTCCAGCCTTTTATAAAGTTTCTATAAATGATCCATAAAGGCGTTTTATTGACATTTTTCGATTTTTTAAGTAGAACTTTGAGTATACTGATGTTCTTCTACTGCAAGATATAAAAGTAAATAATCTGAATTAGGGCGCATTCAGTGTATCGTGTACTAGCACACATTTTATGAGAGAGATATTTCAAGTACAACTCACGATTATGTGTCAAAATGCAATCAAAATTTCGAAAAGTTTCTCTTTTAATTCCGGGGTAATAATGCATAATAAACGTATAATAAAAAAAAAAGAGATAATAACCTAGTACAATAAATAGTTATTACGATAGGAGTGTTCCCATTTAAGCGAAAGGACAACAAACAATGTTATCGACGAAACCATATTCAGCTTTATAGTCAAGTTTAGAATAAACTGATAGTGTACATGATAAACAGAGATCTTATTTTAATGAAATAAAAAAAGACAAAAAGAGTTTTATTGACATTTGATAACGCAGACAGAAAGCAGAAATCAAGTGCAAACTTAAAGAGAACAGAGATATACCGCTGGTCAAAATTGCGCAAACAACAATAAATACGTTGAAACAAGAAGAACTCAGCAACAGTATGAAAAATTTATAACATACGAATAAAAAGCGATGGAGATTTGGGGTTGTCAATGTTTGATAGAGGACAAATTATGATTCGTATCTATGGAAAACTTGAATTAGAATTTTTAGTTTACCGTGGTATATTTCATCAGGCCGCATCTGTTATATTACCAGAACATGAAAAATCAATAGGCTTTAAACTTTTACTTTCAAATATTAAATTACATTTTCATGTACTTGCCAAGACTTCATTGATCATGGTTCAGGCGTGGTAGTAATCTCTTGAGGACTCGCATATCTTTTAAACTTTAGATCGGAAAATCCCTTTCAAAGAAATGAAATCATAGACTATCAATCCTGCTGATTCTCGTGGCAGTGTTTATTTTCAGGTTAAAGTCAAGCTTAGGTCAAAAAATCTGATCAAAACCTGTGTTCGGTGAAATAACCCATTTTAAGCCATTTTCACCAAAAATTAAAAGACTTATAACTCATCGAAATCAATCAAAACTACTTCAGAATATCAAGATTTATTCTAATTTATCTATAATATTTAAAATTGAGTAAACATTCTAAAAATTCTCAGAAAACATATTGGGTACGGGAACGGTCGTTCTAAGTTTTCCAGTTTTTTCATGTTGAAGCACTAATTTTATTCAAGAAAAAGCTCAAAGTGGCACTGGTTAAAACCTTCTTTTAGAGCGGTCGTTCTAAAAAGTCTTACCGGAACGGAACGAAACAGCTTGGCCGTTATCGGTGACAATTCGGTAGCGTTTCTCTGCAACTCTTGAGTATTGATTGAGTGTTGTAGAATTATAATATTTTTTGTAGACGTTATTATACCAGCCATCTAACTGCGATTACTAAAAGAACTTTAAATTGTTATGATTACTAAACGTTTTTCAGTGTAACGAGGATTTTTGCTATGGCCTATTAGTTAAAAAATGTATAGGTCTGTTCTCTGAAAACACATAAGACTTCAAAGATTAATAAATTACGAAGAAAAAAATTACAGATTTTATATAGTTTAGAACTAAGAACTTTAGTCTCGAATCAGATATGCAATTCGGTTATAAAGAAAATAAAAACCCGATTGTTTACCCTAATCCAAGTTTTCCTACGCCTATTCAGGACTCTAAACATATTAGTAAAGGTTAAAACTAATGTGAGTGTGTAGAACATTACAGGCTGTTCCCGAAAATGTGTTTTAAAAATTTTTCCAAAACACAACGAAAATTTAACAACAAAATTCGTTCAGTATCAAAAAATTATTTATTAAATCTAATTATCTGTTTTTTTGAAACTAATCAAAAAGTTGTAAATTCCGAAAAGTGAATCAAAACATAATTTATCATACCCCATTTGAAAGACTGATAAAAACACTTCTAATATCTATAAATCTATAATTTCAGACGTATTCTGTTATAGAGAAAAATACATTTGATATAAGAGATACATTTTCTTTGTTCAAAGTCAATCACAAAAATTTTGTTTTCTATGCTTTTTTGAAGTTCAAACTTTACTCTTTCTAACGAAAAAATAATTAACACTTCAGCACATCGGCAACATGCAGAAGTAATGTTCGACATTTAATGCAAGACTTGTGCACCACCCATCAATAGAGATTTATTTATACTATAATTTGAATATCAACTAATGGCAATGACATTACGTAAAATATCATATTTTTTATTTTGCTATTGAAATCACATATAATTGCTACATACTATACGTTAAATATGTGTTTAGAAAGCCCTAAATAAAACTAAAAAAACATTTGCTTTTTTATGTTTTTTATTATTATTATCTTTCACCTTTTTTCGAGTGATGTTCAACAACGTTTAGAATGTGTCGATATATATATATATATATATATAGTGTATATATCAAAACAAATAATCAAAAAACAGAACGAGCAAAACATTTCTTTTAAACATGAATACTAATTTACTGATTGTTGAATTAAATCATGCAAAATTATTTAAAACAATGACTACAAAACAACAGTTCGTTAAAAAATAAAATCACTTATTCGATTTCTATTTAATTCAATTTTTTTATGTATTTACTAAATAATTATTACAAACAGTTTTTAGTTAATAAAAAGATCAGAACAAGGATATATGAACACGCTTCTTCGATTGTGCCTAATCATAAAAATTATTAATACCTTTACAAATATAAGTTGTATCAAAGACTAAAAAGTTTTTTATTGTAATACTAACGTACAGATATCTTCCTTCCTTTTCATTCTTGTCATGCAGCAATTATAATGAAAAAATCTTCATGAACTCCAAACAAGACTTGTTTAGTCTAACAATAGCTCTTATTAAAATATTCTCTCTCTAGTTAAGCAAAAACTGTCGAGTTCTTTTTTTTCCCATGATTCTAGAGCATATCGAAAGAAAAGAAAAAAAATATTATTTTTACACTACAAAATGCCTCTTCTTCCAAATAAGCACTCACTCTCACAAATCTGAACTTAATAATTAAACGTATGATTTTATTGATTATATATTTTGGCGTTATACGATGTTACATAATGTTGATATAGTTAGCTCGAGATACAAACACATCTGAAGATTTAATTCTGTAATATAGTGAAAATTTCGTTTCTTTTTTAACATTCTATCCATTTATTTAAATATTTACTACGTCTATAATGCTGACTGTATATTTCTCTTACCTTTTGATGTTGATATAAGAACCCCAGTTTTATCGCATGTATGTATATCAAGATTAATTTACAACTCTTTTAAAAAGTCTATGAAAAGTTTCTCTATTCACATGTATTATGTCTGAATATATTTTAGTTCTTTTCTCTTCGTTCAGATCTTGGTAGTCTACAACAATGAACGTATTCGTGAGCAACAAAACTGAAGACGTAAAAACTTCTATTAAGATAGGACATGTCCCAAAGAAATAAAAATTCTAGATTTTCTACAGATTATACGAAAAATCTTTTTTCTTTTTTTATATTCTTCTGTTCTGTTTTTCTTCGTCGTCATTTACTTCATATAACATTCACTATAGATCAGAATGGTACTTGAAGATAGGTACTTTTTGTTTACATGCCCTAACACTATTTGTATTCTTCATTTATAGGAACTCATTACTTATGGACAGCACAAGTATATGTTTTCGTTTGAAATTTAACAGTACTGATCAATTCTTTAAAAGAAAGCTTTGTTCTATTTTGATAGAAATAGTTCAATTCATACTATATGTTATACGCAAGTGAAAGGTTTCTTTTTTATAAGAAGGTAAATTTAGAATGGAATAACTTTTTGAAGCTACAATCAACAAGCCGCTGATATATCAACAATTGCACAATAAAAGGTGATCTTATAATTTTCGACACTACTGTATTTGTCTGAATCAGTCAAAGTTTATCTTTAATAAACATATTATACCTAGAGAACACTGGTTCGTACACGTATATTGTGACTTCTATATGGTTATTGAAAAAATATGCTAAACTGTTTCTATTATCGGAGTCACTTCTCAGATTTTCCACTAGAAACAGAGATTTATGAGCTTATTGCACGATTGTCGCGTCGTTATAATGTATCGCTACCGTTGTTTTACATATTTTAGCAGAAACTGCCTTTGATGGCTTACATGATTTAGTTCCCTTTAATTAAAAATACGGAAAAAGCTACTTTTAAAAAAGTTGAGGATTTAGTTCCCTTTTTTTAGTTCTCTATATCAATTAACTAATTAAGGAAAAGAGAATGTATAACTTTGTTTTCTATTCTGCCATTCAATTAAGAAACATAGTGTAAATGCGACTAAATTATTAACTAAATGTAAACTAAATTAATTAACTATGTAAGCAGTATAAATGTAATTGAACAATGTATGTAGTATTTATCAGAAAATAAGTATATAGATCGATAGATAATTTATAGCTTTATCACACTATCACTCAAAATCTTAAAAGCATAATCATGTCCAAAATAGAATATGTACAATCAACTCATGGTAAAACTCATGTATGTTATGAAGGTTTTCGTTATTATTGTCACCGTAAAAATGATGATGATGCAGAGTATTGGAAATGTGTGAAAAAATCTCGTTGTGTTGGCTTAACAATAAAACCAGATGGTACAATTAAGAAACGTGCTGATCATGACCACTTGCCAAATGAAGCTCACAAAGAAGTGTTGATTATACGCCAAAATTTAAGACGCAAAGTGGTTGAATTATCATTACCAATTGATGCTATCGTCGATCAAACATATGCTGGTCTCCAGGATTCAACCGTATGCCAAGATGTTGTAATTCAGTTACCATCTATTGCAACAAGGAGAAATAATCTTCAAAAGGAACGTCGCAAAACAAGACCACCACTTCCCAAGAATATTACCGAGTTAGTCATCCAGTTCGAATTAACCTGAGTTTAAATGGCGGACAATTTGTACTTTATGATGGTTCACGATGTATTATATTTTCGACGCCAACTGATATGTTATACTTATCTGAAAGTGAAATGTGGTACTGTGACGGAACATTCTACGTTTGTCCATCAATATTTTATCAAATTTATTCTATCCGTGGGTATAATGATGATGGTATTATGGCACCTTACGTATATTGTTTATTACCTGGCAAATCCGAAACATTATATACTGGTATGTTTGAAAAAATATTCCAACATGTGAGCCAAATGAATTACCAATACGATTACGTCGTGTCACAATTGATTTTGAATTAGCTGTTGCGAATGTATTTCACAAATATTTTCCATATGTTGAAGTGAAATATTGTTTATTTCATTTCGGACAAAATTTATTTAGAAAATTTCAGGATTTAGGTACGTGTTAAAGAATCTCATAGTAAATACGATATATCATCCAAGCGTTTCTTTTTTTAGGCTTACAGGCAGCGTATAAAGATGACGAACAGCTGCGTATGTGGTTTAGATTATTTGCTGCTGTGGCATTATTACCACTTTCGGACATGATATTTGATTTTAATTATTTAATACAAAACAAACCAAAGTATCCACAACTGATATGTTTTGTACAGTATTTTCATCAAACATATGGTGCATTTAGTACTTTTCCATCACCCACGTACAATCATTTTATGAATTTCTCACCACGCACAACCAATCATGTGGAAGGTCGTCATTTCAAATGGAAAAAACGTGGTACAGCAGCTCACCCGAATATTTATTGTACAATTGATTTATTGCGTCAAGAACAATCACTTGGCGCATTTAATGCGCTTCGAGATCATATGGGTGTATCGCAGCCAAACGACGTCAACAAATAGCCGAGAATTCTCTTCAAAAATTATGGCAACAATATTCGGAAGCAAAAACAGATTGGTTTCATTCTTAAATGCAGCAGGACTTAGATATTTTAAGTATTTAGAACAATAGTCCTCGGATTTTTTAACACATTTTCAATACTATGAATCATCATCATTTTTATTTATTTGCATTTAGACTACATACATAGTTTAGTTAATAATTTAGTCTTATATTATGTTTCTTAATTGAATGGCAGAATAGATATACATTCTCTTTTCTTTAATTAGTTAATTGATATAGAGAACTAAAAAAAAGGGAACTAAATCCTCAACTTTTTTAAAAGTAGCTTTTTTCCGTATTTTTAATTAAAGGGAACTAAATCGTGCAGGCCGTCTCTGATTAGAATTGCATAACACATATATAGTTTAATGTTGTCAGATACTAAATCTACGAGGATGTATTTACCTACACATGCAAATATTGACATTCGTAACTATATAAAACATAAGTTAACAATTATTCACTGTTAATACTGTTACTTTTTTCTAAGCAAGTCTGTTCTATTATTATCGACGGTAAATCATTTCTTATTACAATTTGAAATATTAACCTGAAGCCATTTAAAAGAGATAGAGTATTAGCAAGAGACTGATTAAAGAAAGAGTCTATAGCAGTATTAATAACCTTAAATCCAACAATTCATGTTCAACATGAAATTTATTCATATTTAGATGTTACTTACAGCTGTCGAAAATATTCTCAACACAGTATTTTGTGAGATTTCTAAAGACCTTCAAAGAGAAAAAATAGTCAAAACAAAACGTAGACTTTTGTAGCACTAGTATCTATCTAGGATAAAAATATTTGATTATTTTGAGTTAAATATACTCTTTACAAAATGAGTGATTTGTTTCAAAGTAGATCAGAACCAAGGCTAAATTCATGTTTGAAACGCTGGAGAATAAAAGTTGAATTTTGACAGAAAATACTAATTAAATAATTTCTTTCTAATGTGCAAATGTCCCAGTTATAGCATTAAAGTCATCTTTTTACACATATTTATAAAGTAACAACTTTATTTATCTGGGACGTTTCGTTCCGCACAATACGATAACACCGAATAATAATCTCAATAATAATACTCTTATCTACAATAAATATAGTGTATATCCAAAAATCTCTTAGTGTTTTAAGTAGCAACTTTCTAAAACTCTAAGACAGCAACTACACTACATGAAGTTTGCAAGGCAACAGAGTGTAACCGACTAAAGTAGAACTATCTTGTACTAACAGCATGAACCACCTAATAGTATGGCATACGAGGAATCACTAAATACATTCAAATTTTATCTACTGAGACAGCCCGGAGAACGATTTAGTTACTACTTAGTTGAAGATATTGACAGATACGAAATCTATAAGAACTGAATGAGAGTAATAAAATGTGAAAAGATCAATAGAAAATACCTGTTTCTGGAATTGAAACGTATAAACATTTGAAACAAAAAAATCACTTCTCTCGTTTTATTTGTGCAATCAATAAGAAAAGAAAACGGGCATCTAACGACTGCTTTAACTAGTATTTTTGGGGGAATAAATGTGTTTTGATCCCCAAAAAAGTGACTTTTGATCCCCAAATTTATTAAAGATATTTAACTTAAAGAAAATATATACAAGAAGAATATATAGCAATTTAATAGAAAATTGATTGCTAATTAATTAGTGGACAGACAAGAAAAAGAATATAAAGAGAATATATACAAGTGAACATAAATATGAACAGAATATGAAAGAAATATGAAATATGTCAACAGTTGACGGTTTTCGAAATTGTATTGTCAACGATTAAGTTTTTGAAAATTTCATTGGTTTTTGTCAACTCACAAGAGCTCCCAGTTGATGCAACGTACAAAATTACGTGGAATGAATTACCACTTTTGGTGGTTACATTTATCGGCGTTTCTACCAAAAACGGAACAAATGTTAACAGGTTGGTCAGAGGCAAGTATTTCATCACCATTTGCTGCTGTTACAAGTATATCTCCTGATACGGACCTGCATGCTTACAAATGGTCCGTAAGTATAAATCGATCTGATATTTTGCATTGGTTTAATACATTTTATGTTGTTCCCCCTATCATCCACGACAACAATAACAACGACAGTTTGGTTGGATTTGTATCGATCTGGTCAATGGGCATCATTTGACGATTTTGTAGCATGGCAGACATAATGTTGGTTAGTATCACCGCTTACATCGTGTACGTGTCCAATTGGCCTCAAGCAATACACTTGTAAGCATTCAGTTGGATTAGGCATTTTATTCAACATGTACCAAGTGACGGACAAACCACGTTGTGAACCATTGGGTAAGAGAAAAGGTAAAGGTCGTCCGAAAAAGGTTCGTACAGCTTTGTTGCTATAAAGTGAGTATTTTTGTTGTATATTTTTTCTTTAATTTAAATATCTTTAATTGATTTGGGGTTCAAAAGTCTTATTTTTTGGGGATCATTTCACTGTTAATAAATTTGGGGATCAAAAGTCACTTTTTGGGGGATCAAAAAAATTGATACCCTTTTTTGGAAAGAAAACAACAGCGGAAATAAGAAGAAGAAACTCTATAGTTTTCATACGTCATCGTATGAGATGCTCGGAAATCACTAAAAACTGTAAGACAATCTGTTTCAATAAGCTAGAACTTGACTGTTCTTATCATAAATACAAAAAACCGAAGTGCGGCTGAAATTGCTGGAAAAATAATATTCCTAGAGGTAACTATTGTACGCAAATGAGTTACCTCTATTCTGGCATCGTATGTTTATCAGATTGAAGTTAGAGAACATGCCCACGGCAAGATTAAAACGTAACGTAAAAAAGAATAAGAAAAAGTATGATGACAAAAACATAGCAACGTAAAAGAGAAAATCAAGAAGGCCGCCCGACTTTTGAACAACAAGAGATAGAGTCCTCTGATTTTTAGTTTCTTTAACTTGACACCAGGGCGCATAGATCTATGAAAAACGAAGGGTCTGGAACAGGTCTATCGTAGTATACCTTTTGAAGGAAAAAATCCGAGCTCGCCTTTCGTAGACTTTGTATAGTGAGCTAGCCTCACAATCTGTCTGTAATATAGAAGAGACTTTCGACTTTACAATGACACAAGTCCTAGAGTTTCATCTATCGTGGTTCGTACACTATAGACAATCTCCGAGGACCTACCTATCAGCCAAACCTGAGCTTTAAGAATCTTAAAAATACATGGCACATAGGCTATCGGAGATGCTGATTACTGTGCAATGTTTTTTTGTTGTCCGGATTAAGGAAACTGGAAAAGACCAATTTTTCAGAAAAAAACGATTTACCCACTGTGACCGTGCTAAATTAAAAACCTTATCGCGTCTGCATTTCTCAACAAAACTGCTTTAAATTTTCCAAATAACTTAGTTTGAAGTTAGTTTCAGCACATCACACAGACAAAGGTGCAGAAAACTCAATGGTACCTTGAAAGGTTTTCCAGAAGATATCTGAAGATCTTTCGGGAGAAATCTCAGTATAAAAACAACCTTTAGCTCTCCTAAACTGTGCAGCAGGAAAAACTAAGTCTATTTTGAGGGAGAACTATAGAAGAGAGAAAACTACAGAGTTTCTTCTTCTTATTTCAGATGTTGTTTCCTTTCCAAAAAATACTAGTTAAAGCTGTCGTTAGGTACCCGTTTTCCATTCTTATTGATTGCACAAATAAAACGGGAGAAAGTGATTTTTTTGTTTCAAATGTTTACTCTTCGTCTTATTCCATCTCTGCTTTGTAACTACTGTTTTCCTCTTTTCATTCACATGTTGTCTAGATCAAAGGATCAAGGACCTTCTGGTAAGAGGTCAGAAGCTCTAACCACTGAGCTGCCGACGCGTGATCTAACATACACTCTCAGTTAACTGAATTATGTAACTATCAAAGTGTCGAATACTGATCCAGTACTCCCGACCTCATTACAGTGTCTGTCAAGGTTATTCTCTTCGAGTCGTGTATAAAATCATTTTCTAATTTCATTAACTCCTGTTTCACAACTCATCTGTTTAGTAGCAATAATTGTGATGATAGCACTCTGTTCTGCAACTTGATGACACAAGAAGATTTCCAAAGCGCTCATTTTCATAATAAAATTAAACAAAAACTATGATGAAAACATTTATTTCATTAACAACAGGCATTCTGAAAACATGGCTAAAACGTTATTTCTTACGTTTTGTAGCTCTGGTAAAAGTAAAACCTGATCTCGTTTTGTTGCTTCCTGAGCAACCTTTTTGATGTTTTTCTACTGATATTTCCGTTGCAAAAAGTCTGAAACATTTTGGACACTGATAAGGTCGATCATTCAATGAATTAGAATAGTCTCCGAGGAACGATTTTCGCCTATCTATTCCTCGAACAGCATCAATAAATTGTCGATGTTTCTTTCGCCAATTTGTTTTAGGTATTGTTGCTTTTTCTTTGTCTATTTCCCTGTTCCCCTTGTAATATTTGAGACCTTTCCATCGACGATATTCACTCTTGTAACAGTATCGTTTACATGATTGCAAGTCATTTATTCTTACACATGCACCCTCATGAGCACCTAATCGATCACTTGTAAAACGTCGCCCACATACTTTGCATGCAACTAAATCTACTGCACTCTTCTGTAACAACGAATTCACTAAAATTTCAGCAACTATTAGCAGCGGGAACTTGCGGTTTATGGAAGCGAAGCATTACAGCACGACGTTTTTTCCAGTCGGATCTGCACAACATCATTGGAAGAAATCAAATACGATTTACAGAGTACATTATGAAAAGTCTTCGATCTTAACTACAATATCTCACAATAAAATGACAATAAAGCCCTCACAGTACTTTAAAACTTATGCTGTTACACTATCAGTTTTGTACAAACAGAAAGA